GTCAGTTGCCAAGCATCTGAATTTTAAACACATAACCACGGGGATGCTGTAATGGCTGTAAGTGTGAAAAATGGTCATAAGTCTATTTTTTGGTGCTGTTGTAATTTTGAATAATCACTAAATGAACTATTGTGAGTTGTAGCCAGTTCAAGACATTAGAATACAAAGTCAACAACTTGTGCTGAAAATGACACATACCCCAATACCCCTGCCACCCATGTGATATAACTACTGATGAAAGGCCTTCAGCTGAGGAATACCAAGCTCTTCTTATCTGACTATGTGGACCAACTAGCATGCGTGAGACTTGGTGCCATGACCTCCAATGGCCATATCTGAAGCCCTCAAAAAAGTTCAGGACCAAGAACAAATGTGGCACAGGATTAATCTGTACAACTGTGGATGGAACAGAGCTGGCACCACAAAAATAGTGACTGGGCAGCAGGGCCAGAGTTCAAGAGCTCTTGAAACTCCACAGTTGGATCCAGGACCCTCCCTCCAAGCATCATCAGAGTAAAGCTTGTTCCTGGGTCTGCGGTTCACTCAAGAGCAATCAGTTCTTGAAGTTACCACCATAACCATTTCACCAAAAATTGACCCATCATAATGATTTCCATGAATCTCTGTAACCCATCAATTATGGGTGCCCTCTATACATGAAATGGACATCTATGATTAAGCAGTAGTTTGGAGGAACTCATAAGGGACTTATGTTTTGTGCTTCTTAGAGCGTAAAAACAGATTTGAGGATCTCTTCTGGGGGCTAAGATGAACCTGAGAACAAATTATGAGTTGTGAATTTTACTGGGTTCACAGAACCTTCTCTCTTCCTGTTGCTTTTATTGATCTGTTCCTTTCCCTGTTGCCTTTGGTCAGCTGGGCTATCATCTCTGCCCCCCCATATGTCTCTTGATCCCTTTGAATCTACAATATCATTTTTCCACCCTTTCATCTTTCATCTGGTTGCATTTAGTCTTCCTCCTGTGCCCCCCCCCAGGCAGTCTTTGCTTTTTCCTTCTCCAGCTTGCTTTGAGGGCTTGCTGGGCTACACCCATCATTTCTGAATTCTGGGTGGCTTTGGGCAACTCAGATTGCAAGCCTGCACACTGAGAATTTTGATCAGGGAAGCTCTAATTTCTCCATACGTAATGGTACCTTCAGGTAGGTAAAGCAGTTCCTGCAGATTTTAATCTGTTAGTCATTGCCTTTAGGGGGCAGTGCTCATCTCCATTTTGAGACTGTTGAGCCAGCACTGTCCAAAGATATTTTTGCATTTATGGGTCCAGCATGACATCATGGAACACTGTTACCTTCCCTCCAAAGTGGTACTTATTTATCTACTCGCATTTACATGTTTTCGAATTGCTAGGTTAGCAGGAGCTCAGGCGAGGATGGGAGTTCACCCCATCATGCAATGCTTGGGTCTTGAACCTTGAAGCCCAGTGTCTTAAGCAGTGAGCCACCACACCACACTTCAGGACCTGTAAAGTAATGAGAAAGGTAGTCCAAGGAGCAGATCTCAAGTCCCAGTGTCTAGTGACCTCCATCACCACCTGACATTACTCTGAGGGGATCACTGGCAATGGCCTACCTGGAAACTTTACACATCAGGAGAAGAAAAAAGATCATCGCCTCCAGGGAGTCATTAGCCCAGAATTGACCAGCTTATCTCTGCTGGCCTCCTGTTAACCACAGAATGTTTGTGTCCAATTATAGTAAATCAAAGATGAGTTTATTAAGGACAGCAAAGACAACCACATGGCAAAGGGAGAACACAGCAGCCTTCCAGCTGGGCAAGTGACAAATGTGATCTGCAAAAGATTGCCTACCTGGTTGAGGGCAAAGACTGAGGTCATGGGGATCGTTCCATGGCTAGTTCCTCCCTGGAGGAACATGCAGCCTCCCATAGGATACAGTTTCTCCCTCAAAGAAGCCAGGCTCCAATTAGTATCTTGGCAGAATGGCAGGGGAGCAACTGACCATCACCTGTGGCCCATACTTTACATTTTGCACTGCATATTTGGCAAAGCAGCATAAGTACCCTTCTATTCTCCTGTCCACTTCCAAAAGGCTCCTAAGACTTCCTTTAACTTGGTTTCAAAAAATTAAGGGCCTCTGATAGTTTGAAGTAGCTTATTTGAATTTCATTAAACAGTTTTAATGCTTTTAAACATTTTTTGTCTGTTTTTGGTTAGACTTAACTTTGATTTTGTGTGGTTTTTATTTTTGCCTTTGCTTGCCTTTTGTTTGATTTTATCATAGCAAAATGGGCTATATATTCCAGTAAAAAGTTTTTTCCTATTATTTTATCTTAGCCCTGAAAAGAAACATTTTCTGGGTTATTTTCTGCATTCTTCCAGGCCAGAGAAGATTGGACAGAGGAAACTGAGAAGAACAAAGGGGTTGAGGCTTTGAAGAAGGGCAACGCAGAAGATCAAGAGAAGGCATGGTCATCTCTGAGGAGAGAAGATGGTGAGGGGTTAGAAGGATAACACTTTTTGAATATCTAATTTTAGGGAAAGGAAGGCAGGTTTCTGAGGAAGACAAAAAAGAACCTCACCTTCCCAAGAGTAAGTAATCTGACAGCAATGAAGAGCAGAGTAAGGGCCCTTCTGCCGACTATGGGTGAATGCCAGTCTTCCTGTATGCAGATGGGGGGGGGGAACTCAGAGAGAGGCAGTGTGGTGAATAAGCTCCCAAAGAATTTAAGACACAGAGGTGCATCCCTCATCACAGGGATGGCTGTGGGGTGTGTGTGACTAGACCTGGGCCTTCTCAGTCAAAGGATCGGACTGCAGAATCCCCTACTGGGGGGAGGCGTGGAAGGCTATATCACAGTCAAAGGTTCTATACCCCCCAATGAAAGAAAACACCAGCCATGCTCCAGCCCCTTGGTATTGCTTGCTTGCTCTTTATTTACAGTACTTTTGTGCTGTTCAGTTCCATTTTGATTCCAGGCAAGTTACATAAAATGTAACATAAAACATAAGACATGTAGAAACATGTAGAAACAACAGGGTTCTACCAGAACAAAAACAGAAATGAAAACAAAAATAGTTGCCCACATAAGTCACCATCCTATTGAACTCTAAATCTCTGCAGAAATGTAATGTTTTTGCTAATTTGTGAAAGGCTAAAAGGGCAGAGGCTAGGCAAACCTGGCAGGCAGTAGGGGGCGTATCGGAAAGCGTGGGGCTGTCCTGTTTTCCCTACCCCCAATTGTTGTAGGGATGGGATCTTTGGCATCTCTTCTTGCATGTTGTGAGACAGGATAGTTTTTCCTGAACAAAACAGTTCCCAAGTTCTTGTAAGTCTTGTTCACAAAAGAGACGAGGCTCCTCCCACTGTATCAAAAATTATGAAAAAAGTCAGAATCTTGCCAACTTAAATTGCCTATATAAAGGTTTCTCGTTTGAGAGTTGAATGCCTTTTGGAATCGGAGTTTTTTCCAATAAATATTACTAATCAGAGCTCTGAGAGACTTGATTTTTGTATTAATTATTTCCTCCCAAGGTATCCTTCCCACAGAGCCTTCCTCCCCAGGTTACTATACTTAGGCCTCGACTTACAACCACAGTTGAACCCAAAATTTATGTTGCTAAGTGAGACATTTGTTAAGTGAGTTTTGCCCCAGTTTACCTTTCTTGCCACAGTTGTTAAGTGACTCACTGCAGTTAAGTTAGTAACATGGTTGTTAAGTGAATATGGCTTCCCCATTCACTTCGCATGTTAGAAGGTCACAAAAGATGATTACATAAACCTGGGACACCACAACCGTTATAAATACGAGGCAGTTACCAAGCATCTGAATAGTGATCACATGACCATGGGGATGCCGCAATGATCATAAATGTGAAAAATGGTCATGTCACTTTTTTCAGTGCTGCTGTAACTTCAAACAGGTCACTAAATGAACTGCTGTAAATCAAGGACTACCTGTATTAAGATATTATTATATTAAGGAGCCCCCTCCCTTCCCTGACTTCAGAGGGAGCTCCCTCGGGGAACTGGACAGGGCCAGTCCAGATCCGTTTCTTCAGCACAGCTCCTTTAGTAGTGTCAAGGCACAATCATCTCTGGAGAATATGTCATCAGCAAAATGTGCCAGGGATGACTAAATCTTGATTATTCTCCTCTAATTTCTGGAGGAGATTTTGATCAAAAGACTTCAGAGTTTAAAAATTCCTCACCCATGAGAGATTCCTTCAGGGGACCTCTCCAGAATACGCTGCTGCCTTTGCATTATTTAGGGCAGGGGTGGGGAACTATGGCCTTTTTATGAAGTGTAGACTTCAGCTCCCAGAATTCTTGCATGCTGGCTCAGGAATTCTGGGAATTGAAGTCCTTAGTTCCCCACCTCTAATTTAAGGGAAGAAGTCCCAGCTGAGCTGGCTTTGGGATCACATCTCCACAGAGCAAGCAAGTAGAGCTGAGTCTAGCTTGCTCTTCCTCTCCTGACTATGCAGACCCCATACATCCCCCAGAAACCTCTCCCGTTCCAGGGGAATCTTCTCAAGGGAGGCTTCCCTGTCCAGGAGAGAGGGGAGGTGGCCTGGGAGGAACGCATCAGGAAGTCAAGGCTTCACCGACCCTGCCTATTCAGACTTGGGCCGTTCGCTCTGATCGCTCAACCCAGGACCGGCCGGGGGGGGGGCGAGCTCGCCAGGACCCAGCGCGGAGAGCAGGAAGAGCGGCGTCCGTCGGGGCCGAGAAACGGGGCTGCCTGAGAGGACGTCACTGGAAGGAGGGAGGGGCGGGGGGAGCCGCCGAGTGTTGAGGCGTAGCTCGGGAGGGTCGGTCCTCGGCCCTCCGGGGCACACCGGCGGCCCCGTCTGACCGCTTCGAGAGGGGAGCTCCTGGTCCGTTTCCTCAGGCGGAGGCCGCCTCCCCGTCTGCCGAAAGGTCCCCTCGTTCTCAGGCGCGGGACGCGGCCCTCCAACAGACGAGCGGAGATTGGCTCCGGCTCACGCTCCGGTAGTGGGGATGAAGCTGTGGCGCGACCAGCGGGAAGCCAGTGGTCCTCCGGAGGGCCTTACCCGTGGCACCTTGGTTGGCCGGGGATTGGAATTCGACACGTGAAGGGCTGGGGTCCCGCACCTGCCGGGCAGGCAAGCTCCGGGGTCGCTTGCCTTGGGCCTTTCGAGGGGACCCAACGCCGCCGGAGGGCCGGCTGCCAAGTCCCCGACGGGTCCGCAAAACTTTTGTCCGCCTCGGAGAGGAGACGCGGGCAGTTCCTCCCTTACCGGCTGCGCTAAGGGGAAACCAGCTGCACGGCGCCGGAACCGCCTGCCCGCCCCAGGTTCGGCCGGGAGCGAGAACAGGCCGCCGCCGCCGCCGTCGTTCTGGGGAGCGCTCTTTTCCCACGGCCTCCTTCCTCGGAAAGGCGAGGCCAACCGAGAGGAGGCCGCTCCCAGCTGCCAGAGGTAAACGGGGCACCCAAAGCGGCGCCCGGGGGCTTCGACGGGAGCCGGCCGGGCTGAGGGGAGGGCGGGTTCCCGGGCGGGAGGGCGAGCGGGCCACACGGATCCCTGTGAGGTGGGAGATACGGCACGCGCCGGCCCGCCCGCCTTAGCGGGGCACCTGCTCAGGGCCGGGCGCGGAGGTGTCCCTTCTCCCCCTCCCGGCTGGTGGGCGGGGATGTGGGAGGCCGCCCGCTCCTCCTCCTCCTTCGCCGCCCGCCCGCGCGTTCGTTCTTTCGTTCCTTCGCTCGCTCGCTCGCTCGCTCGCCGGCTGACAGTCGGAGCGCCTGAGCGTAGCGCGAGGCTGGCGGGCGGGCGGGCTGGCGGTGCGGAGCGCGGAGTATCCTACGACGGGGGAAGCTGGCGAGGGCCGGCCGGGGACACGGGCAGAGGCAGGGCGCCCGCCCGCCCGCGGCACCGGCCCCCCTGGATGGCATGTGGCTGGTCACTTCTTGCCTCCTGCTGCTCAACTCCTGGACCAGCCCAGGTAGGAGGCGGCGGGGCGAGCGGGCGGCGGCGGGGCGCCCCGTCGAGGGCGGGAACTTCAGGAGTTTCTGCGGGAGCTGTTTCCCTGTCCTGGACGTCCTTCCCTCCAGAAGAGGCCGGAGCAGCTTGCGATCCCTCTGCCCTCCCCGGCTCAGTTAGGGGCAGCGGCTAAGCGCGCCCAGGCTTGCCACTGAGGTTTCTCCCGGCCGGCCGGCTGACAGCGTCCCCTCTGGCGAAGGGATGGCGGCCTCCCTTGAGCCCCGGTTGGCCGCCGCCCCTTTGTCCTGTCGCCCACGGTGGGTTCGGGAAGCCTCTTCCGAAGAGGCAAGGACTGCTGCGGGACCATTTGCCTCCCGGCCTCTGCCGGGATTGAGCTGGCAACTCTCCTCCGAATCCCAGCTGGCAGTCGCACCGTTAGAGCCCTGAAATCATTCAATAGGAAATTAAAATGAATCCCACCCTCCTCCCTCAGCCCATCGCCGCAGAAACGTTCTTAATTACATGAATGTCGGGTAGGCTCTAGCGCAGCGTTTTTGCCTGTGCTCCAAGCGAGAATGTTCAAGGCTTAACGCGGAGCGCGTTACTTTTAGAGCTTTGTTCTCTTGTCTCCAGTTTTCAAAGTAGATGGAGAACCATCTTTGAAACCCAGGAAACAAATATTCCCTAGCCCGGCGGGCCTTTAAAATCTGGAGGTGCTTCCATAAATCCAACCCAGCAGCTTGATAGAGATGGGATCGAGACGAAGGGGGTAGATGAAAAATGCAATTCCTTCAGAAGCTTAAGCTTCAGCTTCAGATCAGGAGCAGCGATCTTGTGTGTCAAAACTGGGGCCAAACTAATGAAGCTGTTGAAATGAGAAGGCGATGGGAGGTTGCCTTGGATGAAATTACAATCCGATGTAGAGTAATCGATCTGCGCTGCATAAAAGAACGGGCAGCGGCAGCTTCTGCCATCTGTTTGGTGCAGGAGCCTCCAGCCCCATCGTGCAGCCGCGGCGCCGGCGGCATTTCGGGGGTGACTGGCTCTCCTCCGGCTTCATAGGTTCTGGCATCAGCTTATTCTCTCCTGCTGAGCAAGTGTCTCTCCCTTTTGGTTCAGTCGGAGACAGAGGGCAAGATGCAGAAAACATTTACTTATTCCTATTTATTCCTTCTAGGGACATGTCCAGGTACCTGAAAATGGGTGATTAATCATCCCAAAACTTTTTAATTAAAGCCAGGGCTCTCCTGTTTTTCCAGAATACTACCCAGATCTTTCTCCTTGTCGCTGCCATCCATGCCAGCGTCTGATTTGCCTTCATTTGCATTTTGACTGTGCGAAAGGCAGGGGAAAAAGAAGACACAATCTGAGCTGAGACCCTTTGATTTTTCACAGCCAGACTAATAACTTCATGTGAGATGCAATGATAGTTTTCAGTGCCAGTGGCGTGGAAGGTGTTGGGGCTGGTTTGGTTTTTGAGACGACCAAATTGAACAACCTTCATTCTGAAAGAGAATCTTCTCCAGCCTCATCCCTTTTTGGAAGCCATGATTAAAAAACAAGAACCCTAACTGCTTCTTTGTTACAAAGTATTATACTGAAGCAGTTCCAGAAAGTGAATAATAATGCTACTGAGGTTAGGTGACATTAAGAAAAGAAATTGAATCCCTTAATGCATGAAAAACCTTTTGGATATTTAATATATTGGTGCATCAAAGCACAGAAGCTTAATGGTTTGTTCCGTATGAAATGGGCTCCTATAGAACAAAAAACCTGACTATTTGTTCCAGGAGAACATGTAAGTTTGGGAATATCTCTCAGTAGATTAGACCCATTTTGTTTTCTTTATTATTAAAAATCCTCACTTCCCAATGAATGGTTTGCAAGAACAGGTTGGGAGTTTGCCGGGTGGAGCTGGGTGCCATGGCTTTTGTGACAGGAGAAGGAATGGAAAAGAGCACCTTGGCTTCCTGTCACAGGCGGGAGGTGGTCCAGGTGGCTTGGTGTGATGGGAATACCAGTCATGTTTTGTCTTCTTATTTAGTTCAGGCAGCCATAGGGTCTCCATTGAAAAACCTTCTCACCACACCCCCCCCCCATGCTTTGTTTGCTGTGGAAATTAAACATGGATTCTCATTAAACTGGGAAAAAACTGGCTTTACGCATCCCAAGTTCTGCTGAGCAGTTGCATTCAGAGCAGGTAATAGATGGGGCAGCTGTACCTTTCCCACACCCACTCAGCACTGATGGACCTTAAAGCCCTCCAAAACTGGGCAGTGGCTGCAAAAGATATCTTGGTTGGAATCCACCTGGAAAAGTTGCCCTTGTCTAGAGGGAGCTGGGCAGAATTTCTGGCTATGCCATTCATGCTATAGGCATTTCCTGTCCCTGGCAGCACAGCAAGAGAAGAAGGGGGGTGAGCCTCCCCATCTGTTCCTGTCTGCATCAAAGCTCTGGGGGAGAAGAAAAAAAGCTGCCTTCCTTTCTGTGTTGAGCCTCCCAACATGGCGGCCCACCCATTCTGCAGTGTGCTGCTGGGAGGTGTGAATTCATCCTTTGGTCAAGGAACAGAGACCAAACCCTTGCCACTCTCCAGCAGCCAGGAGGCAACTGTTCTCAGAGCAGGAAAGGGAACAGCCAGTTTCCAAATAAGGAATTGCATTTTCAGAGGCCTCGTCAATTTTAGTTCCTTGGGAAATCAGAAATGGGCAAAACCATTTATTGCATCTCAGTAGATGGAAGGAACCTGCTGATTCCAGGATGTGCTATTTTTGTGGAACATTTAGTTCCTTCCAGTTATAGGATTGCCTTCAGAGGACAGCCTTTGCTTTGTGCACACTTTTTAAGGGTTCTTTGGCAGCTGGACTTCAAGACACTGCATGCCAGGGTCCCCCTACTGGCTCATCGGTGGCTTATTCTGCGGTCAAGCTTTGTCTTCCAAAGCCCCTGACCCGATAGGGTCCCCAGTGGATGTGACCTTGCCCTGATGTGGGTAGGGGCAGGAGCCAGATGCAGTGGATGAATTCTTCCCTCCCCCTGGCCCATCTGCTCATAAATCCCAGTGAGGAAATGCTGGCTCTTAATGCCAGAGGAGGGCACAGCACAACCCACCTCCTTCCTTTGCCCGTTTGATCCCCAAACAATGAGGCAGGCCTGGAAAAGGCATGCACAGCGTTGGGAGGTAGGGGCTCATTTGGATGCAGCTTCCCCCACTAACTGTGACAGGGTCTTCCTTATGAGTTGCAACATTTGCATATTCATGGCTCGAACCCTGAGGCTGTCTTCATCTGGTGTGGCTCCTCTTGTCACATTTTGACAAAGGCTATTGCCTCTCAGAGAGACACAGCCTCAGCCTCCCTGCCATGAGTGGTACCTGGGCAGAGAAGGACTTACTGGGCAGCCTCTCTGTAGCCTCCATTGGGTGAGCCTGGGTCACCTGGCCCTGCCTGTTTCCTCTCCTGCTGCTCAGCCAGGAACAGAACCCTGCCTTTGTGAGGACAGAAGCTTGTCTGTGGGCTATCTGGTCTCCTACCTGGCTTTTCTAAGGAGGCAAAATCCTTGCTGAAAACACTAGGTCACCAATGCCAGGGTCCCCCTACTGGCTCATCGGTGGCTTATTCTGTGGTCAAGCTTTGTCTTCCAAAGCCCCTGACCTGACAGGGTCCCCAGTGGGTGTGACCTTGCCCTGATGTGGGTAGGGGTGAAGTGGGAGGAACGACATTTAGGCTGGACCAAGCTCATGAGAAGGGACAGGATGTGTCTTCTTCCAATCTCAGAGGACAAATATTTGCTCTTCTACAGTTGTCATCCAATATTGCTGCACCAGTTCAGTTCTGGTCAGCTAAGCAATAGCACTTAGGCTTATATAGTAGTTTACGGTCCTCTCTAGGCCCTCTTCATTTGGGAGGGCTGTTCTTTGGCATTCCAAATCTTTGTGCAAGAGCAGCTAACTCACAGTTACCCCTTTTTCTCTGAAGATGGCTAACTGATAGTGATATCCACATCCTTCCTGTTTTGGACCTCCTGGGCCAAACTGATCTGCTGGGTTTGGAAACACCTCTGGGATTTACAACTGTAAATGGGGGGGGGGGGTGTTCCCCAGCTAGGCTTTGCCAACATTGTAAAAGTTGAGCTAGGAAAACAAGTCAATATTGGAGTAGAACAATAACAAATATTCCTTGAATAAAGCAGAAGTGTTAATATTTCAATACTTTTAGATTGCAATATCCTGCAGTTTTGGTAGATTGCTCACTGAGAACTTGAAAATGTATTTTTTCCAGTGCTGGGAATGCAGAGTCTTTATCTGGGTACCACTGTTGTTCTGCCCTTTTTTACATCATTTCTGAAGGTAGAATCTAAATTAATGCCTTTGGTATGTAGGTTACATCCAAGGCTTGTGACCAGATGCCAGAAGTGATTTCTGTTTTAAAAATATTGCAGGCTTTTTCTACATTTTTAATCTCTCTTGCTGATTTGAAGGCAGTTTTATGAAAGATGGAATTAGGATGATGTACACCGTTAAATGGTAAAGGAGATTAGATGGATTTAACTCTATGCGTCTGTCTCATAACTACTACCAATCCTGTAACTTCCATTTTACATGAAAAATCTATTCTGCCCTTTTTGACCTGCAGAGGCTTTACCAGCAGTCTGAATTTCTTCTCTTTATTTATGAGATATTTTGCTGTTTTCCATTCCTGGATTTGCACTCTCCGCTGCTATTCTGCTGGGGACTCTCTTTCAAGGAAGGTGTGTGCCAAGTAGTGGCTTGGCCACAGAGAGAGCTCCATGGGAGGCAGCTGCCACTTCTTGGGTGCCCCTTTGTCTCTAGAAAGTGCATTCAGTGGCTCAAGGGGCTGGAACTGCTCCATTCTCCATTCTCATCTAGGCTGTGTGTCGATTTCATTAAGGACTTCCTGAAATATTTGTCAGCCACTTTTCACCTCCCCCAAGGGTCTTATATTAAAAGAAATAAAAGAAGTTAAAATATTGCATAGCAGGGGTACAGTAAGGGTTGCAACATGTGCTTACTGTTAATGGTCTTGTAGAATCATAGGGAATCATCATTATTTTGAGTGAGGATCTTTCTCTACAAAGCTGTTCTCTCCCCAGGCCCCACGGAAAACCAATCCACACACTCTCTTCTCACTTCCAGCTCTTGGAAGGCTGCTGGCAGGAGAGTCCCTCTCAGTTGTGAGTGGTCACCTTCTCTTCTTTAGGCTAAAAGAGACTCTGCTCTTTTAACCATTGTTCACAGAATTTAGTCGCTTTGCCTTTTTGTATTTTTTATATTTTATTATGAATAATTATTTGTATCTACAAGAGCATAGCGATATAAATGGAGGTATATAAATGGAGGTTCTCATATAAATGTGGTTTTGTGTTGGTAAGCATAAAGTATAAAAGTAGGTAGATTGCAAATTTATTATTTTAACTGAGTCACCAAAATGGCCAGGCTGACACCACAGGTAATCAGTCCCTCAGATAGAAGGTTCTGTGTCATGAAGGGCTTGATAGATTATAGCCAGCACTTTAAACCTCACCTGGAAGCAAGCAAATGCAGTTATCACAGGGGCAACTTAAGGCATGCCTGTTGCTGCCAGTGCTGCTGCATTCTAGACCATTTGAAGTTTCCGGGTGCTCTTCAAGGGTATCCCTGAATTTCCACAAACATTCCACAAATTAGCTAAGATAATTTATTAGTGAAGTAAAATAGAGACTACAATAAAATCATAAGGTGCCAGGCAATATCAAATTCTGATGAGAGGCTCTGCTTATTCTGCTCTCTCTGAGCCAAGATTTTCATGATGTATAATTGCATGATGTTCCAGGTGCCATATTTGCTAGTGAGATTCTGAATGAGCCGAGGGCAGAGTTTCCTGAAACTCTGATTGTCTGTGCCGAGGATCCTTTGCCCTAGAAGAGTATACAGCATGGGGCAGTTTCAGCTGTTTTGAAATCCACCAGCTTCAAGGGGCATTTGTGAAGCTGGGAAGCGAAGGAAAGCATTTGAGTTGCTGTTTTTCTGAACACCAGCCAAAAGGACTTTGGTGCTCCAGCTTCCAAATGGCTGCCATGATGATGAAAAGACAAACATTTTTCCCACCTTGCTTAGCGCTAATGGCCTCATCACTGCTTTGTGATGGGATGTGAATTGCTGCTGTGCCCAATGCAGCTTTAATTCCTTTCCTCAAATGAGCAGTTGGGACGCATCCTCCCTGGAGGGCCAGTAAAGTACTTGGCTTGGAATATTAATATAGGAGCTGTTTTGCGGCTGCGGCTGTTCCTTCTCCTCCAATTTCCTTAAAAACAGCCCTAGGGAAATAGGCAGGCAATGGGGAGCCCCTTGCTTGTAGGGCTGGCGCAGGAAGGCTCTGCCCTCCATCTTGGTCTTGCCACCTGCCTAAGCATAGCTGAAGAGAGGGCTCAGTCCAAATGGCTCTGGGGCCTCCAGCCACCACCGAACCCTTCAGCAGCCAGGGAGAGACCTGTGGGTGAAAGGGGCCATGAGAGAGTTGGGGGGGAGGGCTGGATCGCAGCCTTGCAGGGAGTAACCAGAACATCTCGGTGAGGCCTGGAGCACAGCAGGGCTTGGGAAATGGCAGTGGGGGCAGTAGTGCTGTGAGGGGCTGGATTGTTTTAGGCCAGACTAAAATGCCAAAGCTTCTTTTGCTTTGGCAGGGGTGTTACGTGGGCATGTTGCCTCCTGGATTCCATTCCTTCCCTTAACTTGTCAGCTTCTTGTTCCCAACAATATTCATTGGTGATTCCGAAATATCCGCATCTTCCTAGATTTCCTGTTAGTGCGGGTGAAGTCTTTTGGGACTGGGAGTCTCAGTCTTGACATGGCAGTAGATTTAGTTCAGAAAGGCTGGCTCTGGAGATGGCCTGGGCTGGGGAAAAGCCCACCTGATCTTGGCCTTCAAGAAAATCTTGTACTTTCCCCTCAGGAGCCCATTCCCTGGCCTGGAGCACTTTGGGGAAATTTTGGTGATCCCTAGGCCTACGAGTGCTAACTCATGAAGTTTCTCCTAGCATTTAGTGACAATGTGGCTTCTTTTCAGTAAAAGCCATGATTTGTGTTCTTCTCTCTGGGGTGATGGAGGAAACTGCTGCCCTACCCGCTCCTCCCAGGGAATCTATGGGGCACGGCTGGTGAGATAAGAGACCCGCTGGATGAGCCGGCCATTCTTATGCCAGCCTTGGCTTTCCTCCCAGGGCCCAAAGGGATATCTCTAGGAATGCACAAGCAGGAGGTGGGGACCTTTCCTCTCCCACCATAGTTTTCCTGCAATGGGTATATGAAGACAAGCCACCCTTGCCTCAGAAATAAGACTAGCCCTCATTGTTCATGAATTTCTTCAGTCTTCTTTTAAGATACCCAGGTTACTCATCATTGTCCCATCTTGTAGGAATGAATTCCACAGCTTACTGATGTGCCCAATTCCAGTATGAATTCTTGCTGATTTATAGTTAAAAATAAATCAATCCAATGCCATTTAGGTGTGAATCAGATCATTGAGTGACCATTGATCCTACTGTTTGGGTAATGAGTGCGTGTATGTTTGTGTGTGCCTTTAAGTCAGTGTTGACTGCAAGCAACTGCCTGGGCAAGTCCCTGTGATTTTGTTGGCAAGATTGTGGAACTGGTTTGCTACTGCCTGCTTGCTAGGGCTGTGACAGAGTGACTGGCCCAAGGTCATTCAGCCAAGGTGGCCCTAAAATAGAAGGCCTCTCAGTTTCTAACCCAGTGCTAGGTGCAAGAAATCAGGAAGAAGGCAATTCAAATGAATATAGATTTATTGCATGCTAACACTCTCTACAAGAATCTGAACTACTAATGGTCCAAGCAAATTGGGGATAGATAAGAGTCAATGGAACTCAAGGTGGACTGGACTTAGGTCTCTTGTGGGTGTAAAGGGACTCCAAACTGATGATGCGGTTGACCCCTTGCTTGGGCTTTGCCTGGTCATCTCCTACAGCCGGTGCCTTCACCACTATGCTGAACTGTCACAAATCAAACTGGAGGAGGGAAAAAAATACTGATGGCCCACTTTTCCCTGCTAGGCATCATGTTCCAAGTCTGAACTGTATTCATTCCCCCCTGCCCCCCCCCGCCAAGCTTTCTCAGCAAAAGCATCTAATCTCTACTAGCCTCCAGGTCATTTGGGCTGCTCTTTTCTGCACTTTTCCCAACTTGCTTCTCTCCTCCTTCGAATCGGTCGAAGGGGAGTGCTGAGCCAGGAGGAACAAGGAAGGGAGGCAGGGGCTTGGCAGGCTCAGATGATTTTGTTCTTTGGGAACTGCATTCACTTTCTGCTTGCCCCCACAGCGCACACTGAAGATGTGGGTACCAGCCTCTATTTTGTGAACGACTCCATTCAGCAGGTGACCTTCTCCAGCTCTGTGGGAGTGGTCATCCCTTGTCCAGCAGCAGGATCTCCCAGTGTCACCCTTCGCTGGTACCTTGCTACTGGGGATGACATCTACGATGTCCCACACATCCGCCACGTCCATGCCAATGGGACTCTACAACTTTACCCCTTCTCGCCATCTGCCTTCAACAGCTTTATCCACAACAATGTTTACTTCTGTACTGCAGAGAACTCTGTGGGCAAAATCAGGAGCCCAAACATCCGGGTCAAAGCAGGTATTGGCTGGCTGAGGGAGGGCACCCTTTCTTCTTGACTGGTAGGAGAGGGTGTTGCTAGCTAAGTTTGGACCCAGAGAATGATATTTGCTGGGGGAAGGAAAATACACTGGGGTGCAATAGGTCTTCACTTGCCATGGTGGAGATCTGATTCTGCTTTCTGGATGGCATTTGGGCCTCAGACACATCCTTTTGTGAGCTTCAGGCTAAGCATTGGAGGACCAATTAAGCAGAGGAAAGGGAGGAGCAGATGGGAGAGCATTTTTGGTCAATGATCAACCAAGTGGGTGGACGAGGAGCCCCATCGGTTCCATTAGGTAAACTATTAAACACCGATTGTTGAAGTGCACACACACCAGCTTGGTACCCAGCTTTTTCCTTCCTTGCCTCACAGGGTGAGATAGGACATTAAAGACCAAAAAGTGAATTATTTACTTGAATTACAATACTAGTTATAAAAATGCTTCTATTTGTGCACATGGTTTTATTTTTATTTTGAGGGCACTATGCCATGATGATTTCCTTAGAATTCTTAAAAGGCAGCCTTTAACCTTCTTTTATATTCTGTTCCCTTGGATGTGAGGAGCAAGGGGGAAGAGACTCTTTTAAAATAGACTTGCGATAGTCCTTGTTTCTTATTTCTTATAAATTTATTTCTTGTTTCCTCCTAGTTGGGAAATTAGCTCAATAGTTTCACATGGGGCTAGCCAAATAAATGCATTGCAGCACCCAGCTAGATCTTTGGAACACCAAGACTAGATCATTGTTGGGTGGTGTCAATAATCCAACATTGGGATGTGGTTCTGGATTCTAACTCACATTGCAGTGGGATCCACTCATTCCTGGAAAACAAACAAAATTTTGTTTGCATTTATCTTTGTCTATGGCTGCTTCAGAAGAGGTGCCTAAGGATAATAAAGGCAGGATATAAACAAAAAAGTAAAAAAAGAAAGCTGGTCTCGTCCATTGGGCAATGGGAGCTGCCTTGCTCTTCTGCATTTGCATCGGGGGGGGGCCCCCCGTCCACTGGCTCATTTCCCACTGCAGTGGAAGTTCAGCAGGGGCCAGGCCTATGGAAATCCTCCCAGGTGTTGAGTCCAAAATGACCTGTCTCCATTTCTTAAGTTGTTAGGGCCCAGCACAGAAAGGAGCAGCATCAAGTGCCAAGAAACTTGAAGTCTGTCTGGAGAAAATGAGGCACAGCTGTGCTGGGAGTGAGATTTCACTGAAGGGCCCCGCAAGCCCCTAGAAAAACCTAGTGCATCTGATCATGCTGGAGGAAAGTTTGTTCAGCTGGAGGAAGCTAGAAGATTTGTCCACTCTGGTCAGGTGGGGAGAGATGCACCTCTGCCCATAGGCCAAACCTTAGGTACTCATGGGGAGCAGCTGATCCACTTGAAGCTGAGTCAGGGCTATGATTGTCTGGCTTCAGTTTGGACTTCAATTGGCTGCGGCAACTCAAAAGATACCCTGTGGAACCAGAAGAAAGCACAGAACCTTTTGGTTGGTGATTGGAACAACTTTCTTGGAGTAAGAACTCCAATATTTGGGGCTTCATTAATTAGAAAAATAAGTGGGTGAATGTGAACATGATAGAAGGTATAAAGTTATGCATGCTTTGAAACAGATTAAAGCATTTTTCTCCAGACTTCTCCCAATTAATGAAGCTATGGTCTGGGGTATTCTTGGATGTACATCCTGTAGGGTGAAGGGATGTGGGAAGGTGTGAAATTAATTTTGGGTGAAATACACAAGTTGCTAATCTATCTGCTCACCTGTTGTTTTTCTTCCCAGTGTTCAGGGAACCTTATACAGTTCGAGTGGAGGATCAAAGATCAATGCGTGGAAACGTGGCTGTTTTTAAGTGCCTCATTCCTTCTTCAGTGCAAGAATATGTTAATGTTGTATCCTGGGAGAAAGATACAGTTTCTATCATCTCTGGTAAGAGAGTTAGCGGCAGTGTTCCCCCTTCTATTGCATGGCATTTCTAGGGGGGGGGGGTCTCCTGAAGGTCTACTTTGGGTGTGTCTCCAAAAGTCATTGGTCAAAAGTACAATCTAATCAGGCTGATCACAAACCTTGGCTAGGTTTTCCTCAATAGTAGATCTCTCTGAGGATCTTTTTGCTTCAAGTGGTTTGCCAAGCTTCTAACAAGTTTTTCACCATTTTCCCAGTATCTTTGACTCAGGATATTAACACAAGTTTAGTTTGCTGTGGTATTATTCAGCTCAGACCTGTTTTGTTGCACCTCCCTGCTTAAACTTTGGTAGGACATCTGGCCATGTATACCCAGAGTTTTTAATTTATGTTTCAAATTTGTCTCATATATATTTTAATGGTTTTTCTTTTACACAGCTTGTGTGATAATACAACTGTGCATGTCACATTTATAAGTTTTGCATTCAAAAATTGGAGGAAGATCCATTCCTGCATGTAATTTAAAAGAGAAAATGTGAAGCTGATTTTTTATTCATGTCAAGAGATAAAAGGATTGGGATTGGTTGCAGTCATGGAATAGGAACTAAAACTAGTCCTCATTTAATGACAGTAATTAGAATGGAAATTTCCATCGCTAAGCGATGCAGTCATAAAGCACAATATCAGTGACTAGGCCTCATAGCGGTGACAAGTTTGTGCTTGATTTGGAAATACATTAAAACAGAATCCACCATAGATGGGTGGCTTTCTTGAATCTGGCTTACAGTGAAATGCTTTTTTGAGTGAAGTCTAGAACTCTACAAGGCCCCATGTTGGATCTTCCAAGGCCATCCAAGAGAAGATTTCATGACCTTCAGTTTTGCAAACACTATATGAATAGTCCTGGAAGAGAAAGAAAGGCATGTGTCTCACCCCTTTCCAGTATACGATCTGCGTGATGAAAAGAAGAGGAAACAATAAATAGCTCATTGATCTGTAAGTTGCACTTGCCTGGAGCATTTTCTGTTTGATCTGTAGGATAAATGTTGTCCCTTTTTGAGAAATTCTGAATAGATCCTACTGGTCTTGTGATCCACCAAGCTGCTGGTGGTTTGGGCAGCTTGGAAGCGTGAATGAAGTACTTGGCTGTCAAGGAACTTCAGAAAGCTGGCCTCTATAATCCAGACGTTTTCCTCTACAGTCTAATGGTGAAAATCCAACTCCATGTTGATGGGTGAGAGGGAATCATTCAAGTCTTTCTTGGCTATGTTGCTGCTCCTGTTGGAGGTATGGCATATGTGTGTGTGTGTGTGTGTGTAGATCTTGCTTTCTTTGAAAAAAAAAACCCTGCAAAAGTGATTGCCTTGTGGCAGAGACTTGAACCAGTCTGCCATTGAGCAAATACTTGTGTTGTATATTGGAGGGGAGCTGAAGAGGAAAACAGTTTTGGCATTAAGGCCTCTTATGGTACCTGGCAAGCCTTTTGGGCTATTGGTGGAACATAATTCTGTCAGTCATAATTCATATTCAGGAAGCAAGTGGAAATTGAGAAGGGCACATGAAATGTCTGTGTTATACTGGAGTCGTTCAGTTTCCAAAGATGGGTCTGGATTGCAAGGGTTAAACTTATGTCCTAGCCTGACTTGGTGTGGTGGCTCTGAGGTGCCCCTGACTTCTAGGTGACAGGAAAATTCTTATAATGTCAAACTGATTTTTTTTTTCATTTCTTTTTTTTACATTCAATCATCTCCCAAGTCTTTAGTCCTTGAAGCAGCTTACTATCAGTTTTGAATATTTGGCAATATCCAATGTGAATTGGCAAAGAAGACGGGAAAATCAGCTTGACAAGATATTGTTAATATCCAGTTACTGGATATTAATATTTCCTATTGTATTGTTAACTATCCACCTATTTAAGCATTTTTTTGGGGGAAAGTAACCTACCAAAGAGTGAAAAAAGAATTGGCTAATAATTCCTTTTCTGAGGCTTGTCATCTTGCCAGGTAACAGAGTGTGGTTGCCAAACACATGGCTGATTTAATACCAGATCACTAGTAGATGCTGTTTCTCTGAAGCATCTCACTTGTTTAACATCTGAAGCCTGTTATTGGAGACTGACACCCACAACCTTCCTCTTGAAGTGAAGTCTTTTTAATCAGAGTACTGCCGACACCATGGATTGGGTCCAGAAAATAACTGGTATTTAATCCTAACACTTAATATTGACATGGTAACTGGGAGTGGGTTGTTTCCATTTGTCTCATGTGCTGCTGGCAACCTTAGAAAAAGAGATGATGAAGTTCCTGCCTTGCTGCCATCACGTCACATAAACTCCTACACCAGGTCTTGTGGAAAACTTTAGCAAGACCTCTAGTGCTGCAGCTTCAATTTGCCTGTATCTTTGAGCCATCCCATCTCTAAAACTAGGCTTGCCTGGAAGCGATTATTGTTGATTCATGGATTTTAAGTGTTGAATTGAATTGAATTGAATACTTAATTGGCCAAATATGATTAGACCCACAAGGAGCTTGTCTCTGGTACAGAAGGACTTAGTGTTGTGTTCACTATTTGATAGATTTCACCAAGAAAAATGGAATGGGCTTACATCTGATGGTTGACATGCAACACTTTAGCAGTCTTATCCAGGTACCAAAGTTTCTTATTGTTGCTCCTCAAAAGATCATGCCACTGTTGAAGAAAGAAGACTTTCACTTTGTAATCTGGTTTGACATCATCATTGCCTGAGATTTATGGTGATGCGCTCGCTCAATCTTTGACTTACCCATAGGTTTTTATTAAAGGCATGTTTGGTGCTGCAGTCCCCACTCTTAGCTATCCCACAGCTGGTGGCTTCTGGTCACCACCTTGTGTATCTTACTGCAGAAGCAAATTGCCTCATTTGAGAACTGGTCAACTTTCCTAGCATAAAAGTCCTTTTCCCCCCAGGGTCTCTGTTAATGAGGTTCAGGGGTGAGAAGGTTTGCTGCCCCTTGGAGCTCTCCTTTATTCTTTATCAACCGGATGCATCATAGCAATGGCAAAAAAGTCATGATATGTCACGACACATCACGTGACGTTGCGAGTTTGACACCCCTGCTTTAAGTGTCATCACCTTTGCCATGCTTTCCAGGCTGCTTGGCTTGTTTCTTGAGCTTCTCAGATGTATCCACTGTGAGGCAAACGGATGGCCTGTTTTCAAAGCCAATATTTTAATGCCTCCAATTGGCTGTTCTTCATCAGTTCCAGGCTGCTGCAGCTGCAGTAGCTTCCTCCTCTCCCCCTTGTTAAATTGTTGACTGTATTATTTGATTAATTTGGCAAAGCTGAAATTTACCCTGAAATCAAAGATAAATTCCCTTATAGAAGGTTATCCTATACATGAACCACTATTAGTCTGCCTATTTTTGTTTAATGCCTAGCTCACTCTGCTTCTGTCTAAAAATGTGTGTTTAGTCAAGTCAAGGGTTGCAGAGAAATTATAGGTTTCTGAAAACCCATTTACTTTGCTGGTGCTCCTGTCAAGATCAGTGTCGCCTTGAATTCTGAGTCCTCCTGCCAAGAAGTCCTTGTTATGGATGCAGGAGTTTAAGGAAAGGTCGTGGGACTAGAAATGGGGCCATCCCCAAACAGCCATGGTGTGTCTCTCAACTTTGTGGCTGGACAGGCATCTGGATCTACTGGGGCTCTAATGGGAAGTATGACACAATTCAGAAAATCTGGAATAATGTACTGCAAAAATTCATTTTAAGCAGCAAAGCCTGGCCTGGCAGAGGTGAGACAATGCAGCACAAATGATATTTTGCCAAGTGTGAGGAGGAAGCAAATGCAGATATCCGAGAGCCTGGAAATATTCAGGTGCCAACCACGGCTTCCTTTCTCCATTCCTTCTCCTCCTTTAGGACTTTGTATCCTTTCTGTTGGATCTGTTCTTCAGAGACAAGTAGATTCAACTACAGTAATGTTGTACCTCTTCTGAAACCTTAGGAGGCATCTTGGAGAATAAGGCTCAGTTTCCCCAAAGGAGGCCATCTTTCTTCAGCTGGGAGGTGGGGGTGGGGTGTGTGGAAAAGCTTCCTTGTTCTGCAGGCAGTGCTAATTCCCCTCTTTGAATTTTGGAACTGGCTGTTCTAGAGATATATGTCCTCATCTGTCCCAGAGCTTCATAGGTATCTTGAAAAATGTGCTGTTCATCCCATGATAATTTAAAGCTGATAGACATATCACTTTGAGTTGGGGATAGGTGGGTGGGCTTTGAAGCAGAAGGCTGGGAGGCAGTTGGTAATCAACTGGAAGAGAACCATTTTCTGTGGTGACCCCCTTTGAGACAGGGATTACAAGGCACTCTGTGGCAATCCAGGCCTCCCACTCTGTCCAACTGACATGGACTGGGAGCAAGCTGCCTGCGCCCTCCCAGGCCCTTGACTGGGAGTCTGCTTTATTGGACGAGGGCAGGAGATTTACTGTCCAGAGAAGTAAATGCAGAGGCGACCCGTGTCCGTGCTGTGAAAACCTTGGTCTGCCCTAGACTTGTCCTTCTTTTCCCTTCCTACCCAGCCCCAACCCTCCCACCCCCAATTCTAAGCTTTGCTTCTAGCAGTGGTCAGCTTGTGGGACATTCTGAAGCTGATTTGGTGGCAATACTTTTTAGGATGCTTTGTCATGGATTAAATTTTAGCCTTTAATAATCTGGGAATTTCACAAAATTATATTTTTAGAAGTTGTTTATTTCCTTTCCAAATGTAATGAACTACTGGAGATTCAGCATGAAGCTACACCAAATTAAGGCTGCTGGCGATATTTACGGCTGTAGCATCCACATTCATATTCTGCTGTCTGAGCCAAGCCTTTGCATCATAGAGTGCCCAGAGGTCTTGAACAATGCTACCTCCTGCCTTGTGGCCTGATCCAAAGAATCCGTATGCTGGGCACATGTCACCCTGCCCTGCCTTTTCTCCAGGACCCCTCTCTCTGAGGGCCAGCAAAGTCTCCCACCAAAGACTGTGTGCTACCATGAGGGGAAATTG